CGTACTTTAATTTACATGTTTTTCATTAGATACCGCTAATCTTATTGATGTACTTGATGTACTGGATGATCATGAATATTCTGGTGTCAGTTATTATAATCTTGGTCTTCGTCTGGGACTGCACTCTCGTACACTTAATGTTATTAAAGAAGATAACAAAGGAGATGTTCATAGCTGTCTAAGAGAATGTTTGACAGCATGGTTGGAACAAAGAGATAGTGTAATGAGAAGAGGTGGTCCAACTTATGATACATTAATACAAGCATTGAGGAAGATTGGAGAGAATGCAGTAGCTGATGGGATTGGAGGTGATACCAGTAACGACTCTCGCAAATCTAGGGGTGAGTCTGTGAATGAGGAAAAGAATGCTGCAACTGAGGAGAATGGAAGAGGATTAAATAAGGACAGCAGCCCTAATGGTGAGCCTGGGAATGAGGAAAAGAATGCTGTAACTGAGGAGAATGGAAGAGAATTAAATAAGGACAGCAGCCCTAATGGTGAGCCTGGGAATGAGGAAAGGAATGCTGCAACTGAGGAGAATGGAAGAGAATTAAATAAGGACTGTGGCAGACCTAATGGTGAGCCTGGGGATGAGGAAAGGAATGCTGCAACTGAGGAGAATGGAAGAGATTTAAATAAGGACTGCAGCAGACCTAATGGTGAGCCTGGGAATGAGGAAAGGAATGCTGCAACTGAGGAGAATGGAAGAGGATTAAATAAGGACTCCGGCAGCCCTAATGGTGAGCCTGGGAATGAGGAAAGGAATGTTGCAACTGAGGAGAATGGAAGAGAATTAAATAAGGACTGCGGCAGACCTAATGGTGAGCCTGGGGATGAGGAAAGGAATGCTGCAACTGAGGAGAATGGAAGAGATTTAAATAAGGACTGCAGCAGACCTAATGGTGAGCCTGGGAATGAGGAAAGGAATGCTGCAACTGAGGAGAATGGAAGAGGATTAAATAAGGACTCCGGCAGCCCTAATGGTGAGTCTGGGAATGAGGAAAGGAATGTTGCAACTGAGGAGAATGGAAGAGAATTAAATAAGGACTGCAGCAGACCTAATGGTGAGCTTGGGAATGAGGAAAAGAATGTTGCAACTGAGGAGAATGGAAGAGAATTAAATAAGGACTGCGGCAGACCTAATGGTGAGCCTGGGAATGAGGAAAGGAATGCTGCAACTGAGGAGAATGGAAGAGAATTAAATAAGGACTGTGGCAGGCCTAATGGTGAGCCTGGGAATGAGGAAAGGAATGTTGCAACTGAGGAGAATGGAAGAGGATTAAATAAGGACTGCAGCAGACCTAATGGTGAGCTTGGGAATGAGGAAAGGAATGCTGCAGAGCTCAAGGAGGGTGGTTGTGACAGATCTACACCGAATGACACAGAGGCCAGGCCCACCTGTAAATGTTGTTCAGTAATTTAAAATTTTTAGTGTGAACTGTGAAGCAGCTAAAGTATCTCACTAGACACAATAGAATTAGCTCTCTAGAATTTGTATGCACACATTTAGTTTTTACATTATAATTATTGTTAGCAACTTGAAAAACTTTGTGCTAGTAATGTAGTGTAGTGTTTTTTTATTACTTCATGCACTTGATGCATTTATACTTAAAATCTTTTAGCTTGTTCTGTATGTCTTTTAGGCTGTAAAATTACTTATTATGAAACAAAAAGTATTATGAAAACAATAAGATATTATGAAAACAATAAGTAACTTATTATGAAAGCACGTGGTTCCGTTATACGGAGTCATAAACGGAAAGTATACCAAAGTCAGGAAAAGTGGGGGCCAGTTCTTTTTCTTGAGGGAATGAGTTCCATATATATAACCGAGCCCCCTACTAAAGGAAAGGTAGTTGATCCACCAGCAGCTGTATTAGTGACTACTGGCTCCTTCCCTCAGGTACTATTAAAGACCACACTGGGTGATATTGATATTGAACTGTGGTCCAAAGAGGCTCCTCTGGCCTGTCATAACTTCATACAATTGTGTTTAGAAGATTATTATA